TCTTTACAAAAATATACAAAATTAAAAGATGGAGAGAGTGTCCTCAAGCCACCAATCACCCCCAGTGCTGCAAACCCCCATTGGATCCCCATGCTAGTCAGCAGAGACAGGTCTTGACGCTCTTCTGGAAGGCCAGAGAAGTGGGGGCCAATCTCACCTCAAGATGTTCCACAGACTGGGGGCAATGGCAGAAAAGGCTCTTCTCCTAGACTTCACCAGTCGAAATTCTTTACCTGACAGGGTCCGTAACATGGCCTTCCTGCTGGACTGGGTGGGGCGGGACAAGACAGTTCCTCAGGTAACCTGGGCACATCCCATGAAGGGCTTTAAAGGTCATAACCAACACCTTGAATTGGACCCGGAAGCAAACCAGCACCCAATGCAGCTTGCGAAGCAGAGGTGTTACATGTGTAGCCCTAGAGGTGCCCATAACTGCCCACGCTGCCGCATTCTGCACCAACTTCAGCTTCTGGATACTTTCAAGTTAGCCCTTGGAAACTATATGCCTGCATTGTACAAAACCTTTCCCCAAGTTGGTTTCCTCCTACAGCAGTTGGGATTGCCACATCCAAACCCCTAACTCCAAGTACGTCTGTTGTATGGAAATACAATTCCACGTGAGTTTGCTGTCAACACTGTCTGACACTGCTGCACCAGGGATCAAGAAAGCTTACAAGAGAAGATCTTCAGCCTATAACAGAGAAATGCAACCAGATGTTTAGGGTCCTGTTCCTTTCATCCCCAGTCCCATCAACCAATGGTCAGGTATGATTTGGTCTAAGACATCTGGAGGGGCTGAAGTGGTATACCTCTGGCCTAAACTATGCAGTCCTAAACAAAAGATGTACTCGCCATCTTGGTATGTGTGCTTTTCCTCTGCTTCATCTTTAAATGTATATGTATTTTATTAGTACTTAGCTGCCTACAAAAAACTGCTGGACTCCCCTACCAAGAATAATTGCTCCTTTTCTAAGAATGACTTCTACAATTTTGGCACTCTGTTCATTCCCAGACCTATTAATCCACTTTGGCCTGAAATAATTCAACCAAAGCATTGGCTATCTAAGAATTGGTTCCTACTCCACAGATCTTTTATTGGATAATTGACAAGCACTGAACTCAAGCAGCAGCTCAGTCACGCTAATCTTCAAGTAAAGCTTTACCATTTTTTTCCTACTGGTTCTCTGGCTTCTCAAAGCACCTGATTAAATGAAGGAACGTAACTTGTTACTGAGAGAGCCTGAGTGATTTGGGAGCTCCTTTAAGTTCTACATAATTCCACACAAAAATTTACCTTGCAGCACTTTAGAAACATGTATATTTATTATGGCATGAAACTGTAATCCACAACACTTTTAGGTCAGAATACATTTGTTGGTCTTTAACATGCCACAAGATTCTTTGACATTGTTTTCAAGCACAGATATTTATTTACATCTATAAAATAGTATCATGCAGACAAAAAAAGAAACACCAGGAGATAAATATGATCATGTAACAGTAAATGTGATCATGTATAGGTAATCTTCAGTTAACATCACTCATAGACTGTTACAAGTCATACATAGACAGGTATCTGCTTAGGTGCATTTAGAATCTAAATTTCAGAAAGGGGGGCAAAACCAAAAACGTTTACAATACGTTGCCAGCAAGTGATACGTATTGCATAGCAATGAAAGCCACATGTTTCAGATGGGCCGGACTTGCTCTCTGCCCACCTGCATTAACAGAATAACAGCACAATGAAACATAGGAACCTGCCTTGTAGACAAAGGAAGAGGATGGGGCAGAGGAGATGCTACCTCAAAGCCGGAGTGTGGGATGCTACTGTTACTACTACTATTCCTAGCATTACCACTAATGTTTTGCCCTGGAAATGTTTACAAAACAAAACTACAGATCTTGGCAGTAACAGTATAATTTGGCTTGGTCAGCCCTCAAAAAGCATTTCAGTTTTTGTTCACACATCCCCTGAGTTCTTTCTTTTCCCCCCAAAATTCCATTTAGCTCTATTTTTGCTTGGTTTCTGTGCTGTGTCTGTAATCCTTTTAGAGTTCAGGCATGGTAGACTGGATTACTTTGTATGGCTTCCTATTTTTTTTAAACAAGCTAACTCGGTAAATGCTAAATAAGAAGTATGGGCTCATCCAATAGTTAACAATTAAGCTGATATTAATATAAAGCTTACCTCCTCTGAGAAGCATAATTATATTTCTGAAATGTCTATTTTAATCAAAATTTGAAAATGAAGTTAGGCTTTAAGAAGTGCAGCATATTCACTTATTGCAATCAGTCTTCTTGATAATGACAGTTGTGATTATTAAATATTATTAAAGAAACTGCACTGGATGTGAATGCCTTAGATTAGGATTAGTTAGCTTTTGGGTCAGTACTATACAACTGCAATACCCCCCCCACACACACACACACTGTATGTATAAATGTGTGTGTGTATAATATGTGTGATCAAATAGTATCACAGTATACAACTGCACATAAATGCTTGCCTATATATTAACTGCCTCCAAGTGATGGCTGGCAGGTGTGTATGAATTGAGAAAGCAATGAAGTCAGACTGCAGTGATCTGTACGCTGACCAGATGAGAAAAGTCCATAATGGCTAGAAATGTGCCCAGCTATATTGGATTGGGTGACCACAATGGATAGTGCACTAATAATCACAAAATCAACACCGCAGTGGTTCTGTAAACCTAGTGAGCCACCAATAACAGCCATTCCAACAGAATACCCTCCCAATCCCTGCCTGCTAACCAGTCAAGGCAGCTGTCCCAACAATGCTGGGAAGGCAGTGAAGTTTTACAGGGCCTTGATGGGATCACTCGATTCTCTCCACTTCTCACACAAACAACGTACAACTAGCCTGGCAGGAGTCCACAGCACATTCCTTGTAAAAGGCTACGCATTATCCACAGGAGAGACCCAGCTATAATCTATAGCTACAAGCCATGGATCCACAGTCTTAAGTCTGAGTCAAGGGAAGTCTTTCATTTCTTGATTGCTTCCCCTAGCCATGCCTCCCCAGTGTTCATTTGATGGACTGGTTGTTTCCCCAGAGGTCTGCTGGCAGAATAAGCCAAGCCCCTATTTCTGCTCCCTTTACTTGACTTATTCCACCAGAAGTAACGCCTTTCACCTTTTATTCTTCCTAGGGCTGCACCAGTAAAACTATGAATAAATCCAGCTGTGATGGGGAATTCTTTGTACCTGTTTACTACGAATCCTACAGCATTTCCCTACCACCAGTTTTCCACCTCTCACATTCAGAAATAGTCTCAGAATGGCCCACAATCATTCTCATCACGTTGCTGTCCTGAGAACTCAGGATGAGCTGGCCTGCACAACAGTGTCTGCCCACCAACACCACACCCTCCTCTCCGTCCTGTCTTGCCATCAAGGGGCTCTCCAGGGTATGGTCAAAAACGTCAGGATGTTGGCTGCGACGGTGCTATTGAAGCTCTGCTTGTTCTTCAGGTGAGTCCCATGTGCAATGCACATAAAAACAGACAAAGCTTCAATTGCCCTGTTGGGGTCACTGCCCTGACTTTTTTGAACGTATCCTGTGGATACCCCTGCTTGCCACGTTGCACTGGGCGGGGTCAGATCAGCAACCTGACCGCTGCTTGTTAAGCTGCTCTGAAGCTTCCTGCAAGGGCACCAAGTCACTAGGGCAGCTCAGCTGTTTATGAGTTGGGGGAGAGGAACGGGCTCATGGGCCAGACATCCATGGGAATTCCTACCACCGGGAAAACTGTCTTCCACAAGTCCCACAGTCCTCAAGCGTCTCCAACTGCTAAATAGCTCAACAGTTGATGCCCTCTCTTGTGACAATGGCTTTGTTAAGTGCCAAGAACAATTTACAGATCCAAACTAAAACATCTACAGGGTTCTTCTCCTGAACACCATCATGATTGGGGGGGGGGGGCAGAAAAACTGGTAAGGAAAGAACAGGATGCTTGTGAACAGAAGAGATGATTATTTGGACCCTTCAGCACAACTTGCACTTAAGGGCAAGAAGCTGTAAAGTAAAAGCATAAAACTTTGATCCTCCAGTTCTTTCCCACCCATAATATTACATCACTGTGTCACAAAAATGAGGCATAGGATTCCCCCCAGTGCCTACACAGCAGCAGTTGTGTGTGAAAATGTGTAAAAGTAGGAAGACGGAGTAGGAGGTCTTATTTTTAAAAGCAACATGTTTGCGTTTCAGGGACAGGAGTGGAAACCTGCCCACCCACCTACAGCTTCTATCCCTTCTGTTTCTCACTCCAGGTGCCTTTTTCTCCTCCATTTCAACCCCAGAACTGGCCTAACTGAAAGTAAAGCCCCCACAGATAGGGTCTGCAGAACAACAACTCACAGAAGTTGATGGAGCTTTGCTTTCCTCTCCTCCACGAGTCTTTTATGTCTAAAATTCAGCTCCTTGGTTCATCTTTTTATGTGGCTGCTATGTTCTGGGTTTCAACACCCAGAGTTACTGTCCTCATATCCCACTTTGGCCCTGTCTTCTATCCTTCTGCATTACATTTCCAACTCTACCCATATTCTCTTTTGCATCAACTGGATGAGTTGGAACTTTCCCACCAGCCTGTGCAGCTTTATGCCAGCTGTGCCAATGTCATATTGTGCTCTGCTAGCACAAGGGAATGTAAAAGCAATCCAGTGGACACATACACAGTCCAGGATTTTCTGAGTGAAGCGTTTACACCTTCGGGGGTGCCACCAGTGAGCACTCTGATCAGTAGATAAACAAGGCATGGCAGCCATTTTTAACCAACAGAATACTTGTCAAATGCCTTTAACCTAATCTGCTTTTCAGATGATGGAGAAGCACAAAACAAGACTGAGCCACAAGGCAAGAATGTGACTTGCAAGAATTATAAGAGGCAGTAAAGCAGAATGAAATCTAGGAGATATGATCAGCTGGAGACTCACTAATTTTCTGAGACGCAAAATTTTCCATTAACACACAAGTTACATACCTCTCTCCACTGCTTGGTCTCTATGCCCTGAGTATACAGCACACACACTGCAAAGGGGAAAAAAATTACAAGTTAACCAAGCCACTGGCATAGAGACAAGAATTTAGCAGTGATGCCACACAGCACAGGTTGCATTAGACAGACACCACAAGCTTCTGCCAGATCAAAAGCTAAACAAAACTGCTGAAGCTTGATCCCCACCAATGAGATGGGGGAGAGGACTGGATTCCTGATGACTGGAAGGCTACTGTGCATTATCTCCTCCCCGCTCTTTTTCTTTTAGATTGTGTATTTCTATGCACACAAAAATAGCATCCAGACTTCTCCATTTTGCTATTGATGAAAAGCATTTGCCTCCAAATTCAAAAATGCAAAAATGGGGTGGATTCTAGGCATACATTATAATGGAAATCTGAAATGGAAACTAATAACCATACTGCAACAAATACCATAATGTGTGATTTCATCAGGCCTTAGATGCAGGTCACATTTAATGAGCACACTTGGAACGGTGTGAGGTTAAACATCCAGGCTTACTTCCTTTGCTTCCTCACTTACACACAGATAAAAGGCCCATCATCTCCTATTTTACCATAGAAATAACAGCAGCATTTTTGGAAATACTAGCTATTTCAAGATATTGATTCAAATATCTTCTGTGCCAGTATCAGGGATGGAGAACCTGCAGGCCTCCAGAGGTTGCTGAACTATCATACCCCTCACCTTTGGCCATGCTAGCAAGACTCCTGGGAATTGTAATCTGGAGGACCACCTATGCTCTAGATAAATGGCAGAATTAATTTATTTGTTTATTCACTGCATATTAGTCTTCCTCTCCTTGACAGAACTGAAGATAATATACATGTTTTTGTTTTTGATCTTCACAATAATCTTATGAGGTAAGCTGAGCTGACAGAAACTGGCTAAGCAGGGATTTGAACTCAGGTCTTCTTATTTGGCACCCTAACCACTCTGCTCCATCAGCTCAAAAGAGTGGATCCTTTACTTATACATCTCAGCTCCATTAACTTGAAGAACATCAATTTCATGAGCTATGACTGACAGCTATTGTCTTCCCACATAATGGAGTGACGCAAGAGCTGTTTGCCTGTGCCTTCACTCACATGAGGAAAAAAAGAGGCTGTCTTTGGAATCAGAAGCTATACCACACTCAGCTGGGAACTATGACATGCCAAGGCTAGTCCTACATCAAAATCAGTGTCACTAGAACGCTTGTCAGAAGGAACCCAAAATACTGCAGAGCGTGCAGCTTAATTCCATCCATATTCATTAGGTTCAGCGGGTTTACTCTGCGTGTTGAGTAGAACTAGGACATGGGAAATCCAGATTTAATCCCCAGTTCTTCAAAAAAATCATTAGGTGATTTGGGATCCACTGCTTTCTCTCAGCTTAACCTACCTCACAGGGTTTTTGTGAAGATAATATGTAGTTGGGGGAAAAGACTCATGTTTATCACCTTGAGTTCCTAGAAGAAAAACAGAATATAAATAAAAGGAATAACTAAATCAATAGCCTTTGGATTGTGGCCTTAATTTACTGTTCAAACCCATAAAGAAAAACTTCTACCATGCTTCTTTGATTTCAGTCTTGGGCTGGACCTTCTCTATAACACACAATTTTTTTCTTGCTTCCCCTTCTGTAAGTGTGGCAGGGAAGCATCTGGGATGCACAACAGGAAAAGAGCCACAGGAAAAAGTGGCTACGCTATGTTTTCTTCCATTGAGAGGTAGATTCTGCCTTCTATAAATCAAGGCCGAAGCCCAGAGGCACCCACAGGATGCAATGCTTTCATCAAAATGACAAAAGGAATGTCACACTGTTGGGATTCCATCCCTTTCATATATACATGACGTGCATAAAAAAGTAACAAAGTTTGCACTGGGACACCATGATGCTGCTTTCATTATCTGACCTCCTCGTGGCCATCTCTGTTAAAGCCTACTGTATCTCTTCCCTGACTCCTCTTTTCTCGGAATGTATCTTTAGAGGCCAAGGAAGCTTCTGCAACACCCAGAACATTCTGCATTTAGCATAATTTAGCATTATGCTAAATGCAGAATTAGGGTAGCTCTTTCATGCAAAGAGCAAAGAAACCACAGAAAACCAAACAAGACCTTTAAATTACCCAATAAAGATATCTTCATTAATGTATTTGGCTCGCTTTCAATGGCTCCCCATTACTAAAGCATGGCAAAAATGTAAAAATGATTAATGAGATTTTAATGAAGAGAAGCTGCCAAAGAGAGCAAATGCTGTCCTGCTAAGCTTTTTTTCAGGTTCTGATTATGTCTCTCATCTGCCTAAGGATCTGTACATACTGGCTACAACCTCAGTGCTAATCAAAGGAAGTAGAACTCCACAAGTCGGATCTGCAAAAAGGTGCTGCAGTGCAAAGTGTTCCTGTTCAGAAATCTAGCCAGTCATGACATCTTCCACATCTTTTCCAAGCTGCTCTATACTATCACCACTGCTAATTGCATTCTAGGACCACAAAGTCTGGCCAGTCTTTACTGGGTTCTGTGAGTTGTCTCCCTATCTGCTGGCATCCATTAGTGGATATGATTTTTTAAATCTAAATTATTTTTGCACTTCTGCCAACTTTTCTCATATATTTATATATTATACCCCCCCTTCTGTTTATTCTAGCACTCAAGGTGGTTTAGGTTGAGCTTCTCCCAAACCAGTTATTACCTGTGCCATGCATACAGATGGTGCTGTTTTGGATACATAAGGATTAACACTTGAAAAGTCAGTTAATATATATTAGCAGTCAATGCACCATTACCTCCATTCTACTGGGAGAAAAAGTGATATACAAATAAAATAAAAATAAAAATACAGGAAGCACATATCCCAGAAGAACAGGCAATGTAATTATTCAAGCCAAAGAAATTATGGCCAGAGATCTATTAACTCAGGCTTTCAAATGTCCCAGAAATATGTACCAGGAACAGAATTATCTATAAAATCTGGCTCAGAGACCTATGCTGAGCATAAGAATTGCAATGCATGCACGGATTTCTATCTTCCACAGCTGTTTCTGTTTAATGCAAAGGAGGAACTCACTCTGTCTCTGCTCAATTTATACATTCAAAGCAAGTCCCCTGAAACCGCAATCATCCACACACTCAACATATTGCTGTGTGTTCAAATACAAACATGGATCTCTTGATCAGTGTGATTTTGTATAAATATGTGAGAGAATGAGGTCATTCAGATTATAAAGTTGTAAAAATGAAAGTTCAAAGCCAATAAGACTTTTTAAAGTACTTAATACATTTGAGTGTTTATTTTAAACCAGGAATTATTAACTCTGTGCAGAATCCAAGATTACCAAATCCCAGTAATTACAATCATGTATTATGCTTTCCCATATTTAAATCAATGGTTCTTAAAAATGTTTAACTTGGGTTTTATTTTTGCCCTAGGTTGTCATTTACATACATTTGCAATAAAGAATTCGAAAGATCCATAAATGGGGGGAGGGGGGGAGAGAAGTCTTCAAGAACTTTTGTGAACAAAGCCCGAATACTGCAACCAAAACTCATCTTGAAGAAAAGTGAAACTTCATGCAACACTTACGTACATGGGTCAGACTTGGAGAATGTATCCTTATCCAAAAGATTCCTGTGGGGGGGGGGGAGAGGAAAAACAGAAAGGATTACATAGGACCTGGATAGATGAGTTTTCAGTTCAGAAACGGAATTGATAAAAATCTCCCTAGTTTTTTTGCACAGATTTTCAACTGATTCTTTAAAACAGTAATATTATGTGTTTGTTTTCCAAATAATTATATACACCCAGAAACTACTGAACTCTGCTAAAGCTGTCAAGACAGCCATCAGAAGTAGCCTAGGGAATTAGAGCTGAAGAATCAAGCCAAATAATTCAATCAATCAGTACACCAGAGCCAAGAAGAATGTGTTTTTCAGACAAAGTCTCCAATCAAATAAGGTGTCTTTTTGCTTACAATGACCTAGTAGCCATCCTGGCTCAGCAGGACAAATCTATAGGCTGAGAACATTTGACTGCCCAAGGAGATGCTCCAAACTACAGTTATCTTGCTTGGCATACAGAACAACTACATTTGTAGCAGAGAGTGCCCATTTCTAGCTCATATGCTTCCTAACAGTGGCAAAGCATTTTCTAATTCAGTGATGCTTATGAACAAGTTTTCTCTCTTCAGAAAAAAACTTCCTGCCTTAGGCACGAGAGCCAGCTGGGTGACTTTGGACCAGTCACTCTCTCTCAGCCCAAGTCACCTCACAGGGTTGTTGTGGGGAAAATAGGAGGAGGAAGGAGTATTAGGTATGTTCACCACCTTGAGTTATTTATAAAAATAATAAAGGTAGGTTAATAGAAATTTAAAAAATAAAAAATAATCTTTTCAATCCAATCATTGCTTCATATTATCTCCCAGGACCAGCTTAATCAGCCTCCCTTAATTGGCACTTTTCAAATATGCTGTAATACAACTCTGATAATTTCAACTAGTAGTGCTTTGCCCATCATGGCCAGGGAAGATGGAAGTTGAAATCTAACACATCTGCAGAACACCAATTCAAACTATGTGGCCAAAGTGTCAATACCACTTTGTGTCAATACCAATGCATGTGCAAATGAACACAACTGGAGAAAATGTTACTGACATAATGTTAAGCTAGTTGCTTTGTAAAATGAGCCAGTAGTAAAGGCACATTAGTTGAGATGCTTGATTCCCCTTCTGCTTTAGCTTTTATTCTCTAAAATAATGGGTCAAGGCATTATTCCAAACTTCACTGTAATTTAGAAACCATTCACCCTTAATGGAGATTCACCTGTCTCAATCTTCAAAATGTTTATTTGCTTATTCCAGATGTGACCCTCTAGAACCCACACAAAAACTTTAATCAACCCCAACCAATATGCTTATTAATCCATCCAAGAACAGAACGCAGATAATTCAAGGAACAGTTTCTTATTGTGCTGCCTTGAACCATTGCTGTAAGTAGTGTAGGGGGAAGGAAGAAGGGCCTAACTAGGCAAGAAATTATGTTGCACAGGGGAACTTTGTACCAATATCAGTACTGTCCAGTTCAGATTGTCCTTTTCACAGCAAATAAAGTCAGAATTCACTCACAAGTCTCTGATGTTGATGATGGCCATAAAGTGGACTCTAATGACTATATTTTCACAAGCATCTGCTAAAAAGTTAGTATCTTGACAACTGATGGTATAAAAAAATGTAAAAGTTGTTTCCTTCTTTAAATTTATTTATTTAAATGGCAGAGTCATTTTTATTCTGTGCCAGGTGCTGTAATCTTTCCTAAAGCTTGCCATAAATTTCACTATACTAAGAATTTGTCTCAACTTCCTAACAGCTTCACTTCCTTCCATAATGTCTATTTTCAAATAAAAATCCTAGTAACAAGTACTGTAACTTTTCTGAGAGCTGTCCAGCGCTCTCAGTGCTGAATGCAGTCTGAAAATGTTGCAATGAGACAGTACCATAAAAGTGTACAGTATAGGATTCTTTGCTGATGTGGTTAAATTTTAGATTGTGCACTAATGGCAGAGAGTGCCATCAATGAATAGCAGAAATAATAAGGGATTAGAAGGAGCTTAATAGCATACCAGGTTCAGAGCCAGGCCTTTCAATAGCTTATCTTCGAAGCCTGCAAGAACACCAATTAAATGTAAGGAGATACACAGACCGAGTGCAGAGGGAGCTTCTTTCAACTCCTTGGCACAGTTCTTTCTGGAAGCAAACTTTAAAGACAAACAAACTTCAGGGATTACAGCAGGTCAGGCTGTTGCATTTGGGCAAGGAAGAAAGCAGCTTTGAGTCAAAAGAACTGGGTGGATCAGTAACCAGGATGATCAAATAAGACTTATCCCTTTCCTATGTAATTCCCATAGTCTTCCTCATAGAGGTGTTCTACAGGAGTTTTGGGAATACAACCTCCAGAATTCACAGCTAGCATGGCTGGAATCCTGGGAATTGTAATCTCAACTCTTCTGGAAGACACCACGATGACAAAGCCCAAGGCAAGGTAAGAATGCAGAGGGCGTAGAAGACACATCAGTCATGGTGGATAATTGAATATTCAGAGTCAGGTAGAAGAAACTACTGGGAATAACTACCAAGTGAGTCACCTATTATTATTCGTTCTTAAGACTCAAAAGATTTAGCATCCCGAGAAAGATTATTTATCCTCTTCTAGGAAGTGACACCCAACTATTAAGAAAGAAAACTTAACCCCTCTTTCAAAATTATTAAAAAAAAAAAAACTTAATCAGGAAAAAAAAACTGTCCAATAATATGAGATGAAGCCAAAAGGGAATTCTGGAGAAGCTGATTCTCCAGAAATGCAAGTAGAAAAGTACAGAATATAAAGGTTAGGTCTGCCTATGGTGTGTGTGTGTGCACACGTGTGTGTATGTCCCAGAACTTATTGCAGACAGCAGGTCCCATCTTTGGGCTTTCATGCTTAAGTTATACATTTGATCTCATAGAAACCTGAAAGAACATATATAAAGAAGAAGCATGATCTTTAAGTAACACCCCACCATAACCTTTTCCACATGACCGCTGGCATTCTCTGGAGTGAGTGATGACAGGGCACTTTCTTTGTCAGACAGTGAAAGCAGCTCAGCTTCTTCCTGGAGAATCCTAGGGCTTTCAATTATAACTTCATTTTCATTGAATAGGATAACTACCCTGCACTGACAAGCGCACTTACTGCTTGGCTATTATGTACAGGGACAGGAGAATGTGTGTAGGCGGCTTCCATGTATTACCTGAATGACCCATAAAGCAAGAGGAATGCACAGAGGAAAAAAAAGCCACATTGCCTCCCTTCTGCATTCAGAATGTGGCTACCTGGCAAGCAGATAAGTCTGAAGCTGCGGAGCAAAATGCGATGCGACAACAAATATCAGAAAGTGTGGGACAAAGAAAGGCACTGAAAAAAAAATGGGAAGGACAGAAATTAGACATGTAATTCCAGTATTCGGGGATCCATTTGTCCCACTGCTACTAATGTTGCCTTACTGATAAAACAGCACTTCTGTTTCAGCACTGTGCTCCCCCAGGAGTTGAGAGATTGCCCTTTCCCCTCATTGCATACTATCTCTCATTCCCACAATGATAAAAGGTTCACTGGGTAAAACACAGCCTCCTCCTGTCTCTCTATGCATTCAGCAACTATGACTTTCTGCTGAAGGACAGAGATTGCATGACTATTTTTTCCTCTACAAAACGAAACAATACTTTATTGGCAAGATAAGTTACAAAGGTGTTGCCAAAAACACAAAAGATTCACTACACTGAACAGACCAGAATGCAGTTTATCCCTGCAGGGTCAGAATCCTAGATCAGAAGGGCTACTGTAGAAAGCAGTAAAGATGTAAAAAGGAGAGCCTAAGTCAGAGAACAGGAAATAACCAGAGTGAAGTATTACAAAGAGCCATACGATGAAGCCACTGTTACTTGTGGCTCCCTGACAATTGTCTATGTATGGATGAGTCCTGCTGATCTCCTCATGTTGTGTCATTCAGCAGACAGACATGGGGGAAATTTATGTTAGCAAACATTAACATCCATGGGGCTTCCAATTTACTAATTCCATGCTAGAAAGAAGTATAGCAAAATAAGTGAGAAGGTACCCCTTATCCAACTTTAGACACTTCATATATAATAAAAGTAGTACTCCTTAGCCAACCCTGGCTGATTTCAAAGGAAGCCAGGTCCTGATTAGTACTTGGATGGGAGGCCACCATAAGAAATTCCAGGGCTAGAGAATAGATTGGCAAGTGGAAAAAACATCCAAGAAGGTAATGATAAACCATTTCTATAATGCTGCCAGGCAAATTACATGGACATGCCTATGCAGTCACCAGGAGTCATAGTAAAGTCAAGTGCATCTTTATATTCATTTAATAAAATAATATAAACTCAAAACCAAAGTAAATAACAAGCCTGTTCATATTTTACCTAACGACGTACATACATAATGCACACACATAAACTATATATATGGGAGAGGGGAGCAGTTCAGTTATAAGTACTTAAGCTTAGTTAGAGTCTCAGTTACAGAAAGGAGGCAGTTCTTATATGGTGCCTTCTAGATTATTGGATCAGCCCCCATGAGTCCAGCACATCTGGAGTCAACGCATCTGGAGATTACCAGCTCAGGAAAATCTACATTAGGGAATGGGTACTAGGGAGCTATGCCACAGGCTTCACAGAAAAGGTAAACTTTGAAGGGTGAGTTGAAGAATGTATGGAGAAAAAACACACTATCATTTAAGAAATCCAGAAGAGGGTTCCAAATATATAGGAGCAGAAAAAAATGGAGTTGAGTAAGCAAAGATTAACCATCTTCAACTCTGGGGAATGGTGGAGCTTGATAAGCAAAGATCCTAACTGAGGATGTAGAAGGTAAAAGTAAAAAGGAGGACAACAGCTGGAGAAGAACTCTGCACTTGTTCCTTTCCATGTAGAAAGATATCCCTGAAGGTAGCTAGTAAGTGTGAATGGCATCAATATCACAATGCAGGGCTGTTTATACCTCCTCTTGAACATCGAAGTGAAAAGAGTTTTGAATTAACTGTGGCAACATTACATGCACATCAGAAAGAAAACA